CGGTTAAACAGATCCTGTACTGATCAGATAGCCACATTACGTATTATAATAGAGCAAAGCATTGAACTGAACTCACCACTTTACATTGGATTTATAGACTATGAAAAAGCATTTGAAAGCATTGATAGGGAATCTCTCTGGAAATTGATGGGGCACTATGGAATCCCACAGAAAATTATCAACTTAGTAAAGGCAACATATAAAGACATGAAATGTCGAGTTCTTCATGAAGGAAAGCTAACAGATGCATTTGAAATAAAAACAGGTGTGCGACAGGGATGTCTTTTGTCGCCTCTCCTTTTTTACTGGCTATAGACTGGACTATGAAAACAGTAACTGCTAACACCAAGAATGGAATTCAGTGGACCCCTACAAAACAGCGTGATGATCTGGACTTCGCTGATGATATTGCCCTTCTGTCCCATTCACGGAATCAGATACAAGATAAATTAAATATACTCAATGCGAGATCACAGCAGCTTGGTCTGAAAATCCATAAAGGAAAGACAAAGATAATGAGAATAAATCAGGCAAATAGTAATGTGGTTTCTCTTAATGGCACCCCACTCCAAGACGTGGAGTCGTACACCTATTTGGGCAGTAATGTAGATAAAGATGGAGGAACTGATAGAGATATTAAAATAAGAATACAAAAGGCAAGAGGGGCTTTCATAGCACTAGGGAATTTGTGGAGGTCAAAAGAAATTAAAAGAAATACTAAACTAAAAATTTTTAATTCTAATGTCAAATCAGTACTATTGTATGGGGTGGAAACATGGAGAACAACGAAGGCAATTACTAATAAATTACAGACATTCATTAACTGGTGCCTGCGCAGAATAGAGGGAATAAAATGGTATGATAAAATAACTAATGTAGAACTTTGGGAGAGAACTAAACAGGCTCCAGTGGATCAGGAGGTGAGGAAAAGACGCTGGCGTTGAATAGGGCACACACTGAGAAAACAGGAGAACAGCATAACTAGAATGTCTTTGCATTGGAACCCACAGGGGCATAGGAATAAAGGAAGGCCAAAAAACACATGGAGAAGAGACCTGGAAAATGAGATTAGAAAGATTGGGAGGACATAGGGAGAGCACCATGTAATGGCGAAGGATAGAACGACTTGGCGTGAGTTGGTTGAGGGCCTATGCTCCATTGGGGGATAAAAAGGCAGAAGAATTTGTATTCCTATTCAGCCGAATAGTTTTTCCATTATTCGTATTCGGCCAAATAGTGAAAATCACTATTCGGTACAGCCCTAGTTCTTAATCTATAATAAAATGTAGTTTATTATTACTGTTATGCCATTAAATTAGATTTTTAACATTAGATCTACAAACTGCTCCTGAAAAGAAAAACATTCTTGGCTTTCTGTTTTAAAAGTTTGAAAAAATATTTATTTATAATTAAATTTTAAAAAAAAACAATGTTGATAACAGATTATTACAAGTATAAATAATTTCATTTTCAAAAATTACTTGATGACCCCCTTGGAACTTCCTGACCTCCCATTTCCCCCCTACCTATGTGGCACCCCAACCCCTTCCCTTTCCACAAGCTGGAGACCACTTAGTCTGCATTATCTGAAACAGATAATCATAATAAACCTGGTATGTGGTGTGTATTCATTCATTCATTCTCCTGTTGTGCCATTATATGTCACATATGGCTTACAGTCTATTCCTCCATTCCTTTACATCCTGTGCAAACTATTCAATATTAGGATGGAATCTAGTCCAGCACCTTAATCCCCTGTCACCAACGTTCATCTTAGTTTCTCTTGGGTATCCTTACCTCCTTAATATCATCAACGTTCATCTTAGTTTCTCTTGGGTATCCTTACCTCCTTAATATCATCAACGTTCATCTTAGTTTCTCTTGGGCATCCTTACCTCCTTAATATCAACGTTCATCTTAGTTTCTCTTGGGCATCCTTACCTCCTTAATATCATCAACGTTCATCTTAGTTTCTCTTGGGCATCCTTACCTCCTTAATATCATCAACGTTCATCTTAGTTTCTCTTGGGCATCCTTACCTCCTTAATATCATCAACGTTCATCTTAGTTTCTCTTGGGCATCCTTGCCTCTTTAATCTCATCAACGTTCATCTTAGAGTTTCTCTTCGGGAATCCTTGCCGCTTTAATCTCATCGTTTATCTTAGAGTTTCTCTTGGGCATCCTTACCTCCTTAATATCATCAACGTTCATCTTAGAGTTTCTCTTGGGCATCCTCGCCTCCTTAATCTCATTAACATTTATCTTAGAGTTTCTCTTGGGCATCCTCGCCTCCTTAATCTCATCAACATTTATCTTAGAGTTTGTCTTGGGCATCCTCGCCTCCTTAATCTCATCAACAGTTATCTTAGAGTTTCTCTTGGGTATCCTTACCTCCTTAATCTCATCATCATTCACCTGAGGGTTTCTCTTGGGCATCCTCACCTCCTTAATCTCATCAACATTCATATTAGAGTTTCTCTTGGGCATCCTCACCTCCTTAATCTCATCAACATTCATATTAGAGTTTCTCTTGGGCATCCTCGCCTCCTTAATCTCATCAACGTTCATATTAGAGTTTCTCTTGGGCATCCTCACCTCCTTAATCTCATCAACATTCATATTAGAGTTTCTCTTGGGCATCCTCGCCTCCTTAATCTCATCAACATTCATATTAGAGTTTCTCTTGGGCATCCTTTCCTCCTTAATCTCATCAACGTTTATATTAGAGTTTCTCTTGGGCATCCTCGCCTCCTTAATCTCATCAACGTTCATATTAGAGTTTTTCTTGGGCATCCTCGCCTTCTCAATTCCTTCATTTCCAATTTTAGTGCCTGTTTAGCGATTCTCTGCTGGTTTCTTCTCATGATGTGCCCAATATAGTGCCATCTTCTGTCTTAAAATGGTTGATACTATGATTTCACTTCTTATGAATTCATCCCATTTAATTTTCATCATTTTCCTCAGACATTAGTTTTCAAATGCATTCAACTTCCACTCCATGTCTTAAGCTTGGCTCCCAGGTCGACCCAGCCTTGACTGGGTACTGGGTACTGCCCCAGGAAGTAAAGGCGGCTGGTGTGATGCTGATGTCACCCATCTTGTGCCAATTGGTCTATAAAATAAGGTCTAGCCCTATATGCCTAAAGGCGTGGAAAAGGGTCCTTTACTTTACAATGTCTTAAGTGGTTCTTTAACTTTCAGTTGCATATATTGATACTGAAACAACATTAGAACTGAAAATACCTAACTTAGTTTTAAAACTGTACAATTTAGAGCTCCATATTTTGTTCAAGCTATATAAAGCTGCTGATGCCTTGCCAATGTGTGTCATAATTTCTTTCTCTGTATTTCCTTCACTAAGAAAATTACTACCTAAAATAAGTTAACTGATATGTTACTTTAATGATTTTTGTCTCTGTGTTACATCTGCTGGATCTGTTGTTGGTGTCTTTAATATATGTGTCAGTACAACTCAGGAAAGTCACCCCGTCTCATTTGGACATGAGATCTCGTGGCTGTTCCCACAGGCTGTCTTATGTTCTAGTGGTGTCATGTGCTCCTTATTTTGACTGTTTCAAGCACATCCATTACCGATGAATTCATTGTGTTCCCACTAATACTTCTTCCTTGTTCAGTCGCCTTTGGCACCTGTGACCTCATCATAACAACACATTCAGAAAAGAGTGCTGCAAAAAAAAAAAGCTGTGCAGTTTCATATGTGTTATAAGTTATACGAGTCAGTTTTCACCATGGTATGTATAGAAGGGGAAGGAAGGCATTTTATAATTAACCCTCTTAGCACGGACGGGCCGATTATCGGCCGGCGGATGTCTGGCTAAAAACACGGAACGGCCGATGATCGGCCCGATCGTGTTTCGCCTCCAACCGCTAAGAAATCTCCTACTTTGAAACACTGAAAGTGATTCATTTATATTAACTGCGGTATCAGCTTTACACATGGCGACTTTAGAGTGTTTGGTATCGAAGTGAAAATTGTTGTTGAATTTTTTAGATAGTGACCTAAACCGCTAAAAGTATGTCTGACTCGTATGTTTCTGCCCCTAAACTTGATGTTGATAAAACATTTGAATCAAGTGATGACACTAATTCTGTTGATACTAATGCAGGATTTAGTGTTAGTAGTAATAGTGGGAATCAGATGGGGACACTGTTGTGTTCAGACCATGGCTCAGGGTATATCCACCCGAAGGTGTTGACACTCCGGCACATCCATTTCTAGTGCTGACTGATGGTGAAAAACACATGTCACCTAAAGATATTATTGCTGTTTCACATATATATACCTGTTTTTGACTTTTGAATTGCTTATAACATTTGTAAAGAGGCCAAAGATCAATAAAAATATTTCAAATAAAAAAAAATTTTGTTTTTAGTTTTATGTTTCAAGCATTGAAGTTGAAAATTCAAATTCATATTTTCTATTTTTAGATATGCAAATGAGATAATTTGCATATACATCAATTAATTTTAACGATATTGTGAAAATCACGAACTTCAATCTATATCCTTCAAATAGATATATTATTTCATAGGGGTCAGAATAACAGAAATCTGTCAAAAAAATTAAATAAAGTAATAACCAAATTCACTGAAAAAATGTGTTTTTGGCTAGACCTCTGAAAAACTTTCCGTGCTAAAAGGGTTAACACCTCTAGAACATAGGACAGCCTGTGGTAACAGCCATGAAATCTCATGGCCGAAACAGATGGGGTGACTTGCACCTATTTGTCTTTTCCTAACTTATTTGTAGTCCAACTCTTGATGATATATTTGATACATCGTCGGTTTTACTTTGAATTTCATTGCTTTTTGATTTTGTTTGTAGCAGAACAATCAATATCATCAGCAAAATGAAGATCTTCCAACTGTGTGTTCTCCACCCAGTTGTATGTATAATGAATGATATATGAAACAGGTAATAAACCCGGTATATGTATGTGTTGGCTGAGATAGGAGAACGATTATAAACATGGCGTACCGCGACCTGTCCATAGCTGGCAGCAAAACATGTTCGCAACCGTTGGTACACTTTCCTGCCCAGAGATACAGCAGCCATATTTGTGTCTATTTGGTGTCAAAGGTCAATCAATTTAAAGCATAAAATAAAAAGATGTAGCCGGGACGAATCTACGAGAGAAACAAACTAACGCTCAACTGGTCAAATTTACAACGGGGAAACATTGCTTTGGTCAAAATTAGGCTATTTAACTCAGGGGCTAACATTTTGAGGATCCTCATGGACCAGAGGCTCGAGCCCCAGCATATAAAGTTAATTATTACAATTACCGAATAGTAATTTTCACTATTCGGCTGAATACCCATATTTTGTATAACCTCTTTATAACACATTGACCTCTTTATAGCCCCTTGAACCCATTGAGGCTCTGAAAAGGATGTTTTGGACAGTCAATAATTTGGGACCGGTATTCGGAAGAGTGCTATCTATCTAATCTATCTATCTATCTATCTATCTATCTATCTATCTATCTATCTATCTATCTATCTATCTATCTATCTATCTATCTATCTATCTATCTATCTATCTATCTATCTATCTATCTATCTATCTATCTATCTATCTATCTATCTATCTATCTATCTATCTATCTATCTATCTATCTATCTATCTATCTATCTATCTATCTATCTATCTATCTATCTATCTATCTATCTATCTATCTATCTATCTATCTATCTATCTATCTATCTATCTATCTATCTATCTATCTATCTATCTATCTATCTATCTATCTATCTATCTATCTATCTATCTATCTATCTATCTATCTATCTATCTATCTATCTATCTATCTATCTATCTATCTATCTATCTATCTATCTGTCTGTCTGTCTGTCTCTGTCTGTCTGTCTGTCTGTCTGTCTGTCTGTCTGTCTGTCTGTCTGTCTGTCTGTCTGTCTGTCTGTCTGTCTGTCTGTCTGTCTGTCTGTCTGTCTGTCTGTCTGTCTGCCTGCCTGCCTGCCTGCCTGCCTGCCTGCCTGCCTGCCTGCCTGCCTGCCTGCCTGTCTGTCTGTCTGTCTGTCTGTCTGTCTGTCTGTCTGTCTGTCTGTCTGTCTGTCTGTGTAAAAAATGGGTGTTTGGTAGGGCCGAATGTACGGTGCCCAATTCGTGACCCTTTGAAAATAAAGTTCTTTTATGAGTTCGTTCTATTTGTCTGTTTTGTGATATCTCTCTTGCACTCTTCTTCATTTATATAGATTCTGTCTATTCCCCCAACCCCCCCCCCCCGGCGCCACATATGTATGCATATTCTGTCTTATTGCCTGGATAATTCTCTTTTTCTTTCTGACAGTGACGCACATACACACACACACACACACACACACACAAGGTGCATATAGTGACGAATCTCTTACACTAACAAGATTGAGTGACCTGGGAGTAAAACATAGTGAAGCACGTCTATGCCATCTTCGAGGCCGAGATAGGACACCAACCTCTCATAGGAACAATGTCGGCTCTGTGGCTAAGTCGATGTAAACGCTTCGTAATGCCGGGGTGCCGATTTCGATCCCAGCTGAGGGCCATGCGCCTCGCGTTGGTTTCGACAGTGGTATGAGGTGGCCGACCGTCCAGGTGAAATGGCAAACAACTGGACGTAAATTTACCCAGAGAAACCACATAACAGCCAGGGGCTGCTGGAGTTGGTTCTGCAACGTCCTGTAAAGGATACGCAACTAACCATAGGAACAATTAGTAGAAGCACCTTGGAGTGACTGCCGCATCAGAGCCCAATGTGCAGTGACGTCGATTATGATAACATAACATACACACTTGTACATAATTCCGTGGACAGGTTGGACGGCAGGCTTCCACAGTGGCACCGATATCATTGCCGATGCAATGTGTTGCTGGATGTAATCTATACTCAAGGATTCAAGGTTGGAGCCAATATCTGAAAATCATATGTGCGGAAAAATGTCGATTACGCCATTATCTTGCCACTGGACCTCGATTACCTGCAGAAGCACACCAGCTTTGAGGGCGCAGCCGATTATAAAATGAAAATGATTTGCAAAGAGAGGCACGGTTAGCCACAACACAGTATTCGCGGGATTGGACAAAACTGAACTAAAAGCGATTATCAAAAGCAGAATATGCAGAGAATGGTCCCAACAGTGGTCGACCAGCGACAAAGGCAGAGATGCCTACAAACTACTCAACAAACCCAGTCCCAAGAATCAAGTGACTAAACCGACCAAAATTCCGGCCATCCGAAAACTGTGGAAGATGCGACTAGGGTGCTGGCCAGACCGATTCCGCACTCCTGTGTGCGAGGAATGCAGGGCCCCTAACTCCATGGAGCACTTCTTACTAAACTGTAAACACCACGAAATAGAGAGACAAGAGCTCGTGTTGCACTTCAGAGCCACAAACCAACCTATGACAATTGAAAACTGCCTCAGTGTAAGCTGTGACGACAAGGTCCAGCGACTTGTGAAGCAGTTCATATCCAGAACCGGGAAAGCGATCTGAGAGCCACACCTCATCATGATGTGACTGACCAGATCCAGCGAGTACCAACACCCACAAACAGAGTCAACTTTACCTCTCACTCACTCTTCCGACCTCACTGTATGTCCTCTCAAAGGCATTCCTGCCCCTCTGCCTGTACCACTTCCACTCCTTCTCCACCACAGGCGAATCAACCAGACTAAAAAATTCAACTAACATAAATTTCTCATAGTATATTTTCAGAAAGATTAAAACGACAGAACCCACCAAAGGCCACCCGACGCTCCGAGGCAAACCAGCTAAAGGGCATAGCATAAGAAGGGGACCAGCACTCGTGGATTTCAGTCTGTTATGCATTTATTTTGTAAACTCCCCCGCCCCTCCCACATATGTTTCAATGTTAATCAACTTATTTTCAGCTAAAAACTGAGGAAACCCACCAAAGGCCACCCGACGCCCTGAGGCAAACCAGCTAAAAGGGCATTGCACAATAAGGGGACCAGCACTTGTGGAATTCCAGGCTACTACGTTTCTCTGATAACTTCACCCGTCCCTCCCCACATATATCTAAAATGTAAATCAGTCTATTTTCAGATCAACCCAGGCAGAGCAGGCAGTGTGCAGGACTCAACTCACCAAGGACCTCTTCCTCAACCTAGCAAGCTGTCTGTCTCTCTCCATCTTCCAACCTAACTATAAAATATCTTTGCACCTTCGGGCGTTCTAATTTTTTTGCAACCTTTGTTACCTCCTCTACTTATCTAACGGCTGCACACAACAACAAGATTGTGACAGTCGTCCTGTGGGGGCCGTGTTTTAGGACGCTCAGTACGCGGGACTGTTTGTTTCGCGGCGGTGTGACTGCGGACTGACTTGGTACTAACACAGATGAACAGTGCAACAGCTAGCGAATAGCCAATTAAACAGGAACCAGGCCCCTCAGAACCAGAACTTAGGCAACAAATGAACAAACTCAGGTGAAAGTGCTCACCATAAAGGAAGATAAATAAAATAAAATAGCAAAGGAACCGTCCTTGAAAAAGCAGGCCATCAGGCGGCTAAAAAAGGACTAAGCTTGGAATTTTTGTTTGATTTTATACGATACGATACGATACGGCAGCGGTCAGCCGATTAGAAAGGTGAGAGAAATACAAACGGGCACACTGTTGCATTCATATGTATCAGTTGGTTTGGCTTGTAACGCTTGATAAGATTTACATAAGCAAATCGTAGATTTATTTGCCTAGTACATTAGGGTGAGCGGTAAATTAGTTGCTGGCGCCCTTCTGGGAGGTGAGCTACTTTTTAAAGCGAGCGCGGTAAAGACTCTCCATGAAGAAGTAAACAGTTATGACTTATGAGTTAGATTATCTTCACAGCACTCCGGACACATCCATAGGCGCTCAGATTCCTCTCTCAACATATTCATCAGCACCGCGCGGTTTATAGTGCCAGTCCTATGTTGGTTAACAAGACTTCATGTGCGTCCGGTGTGCTTCTTATGCTTAACTGTGCCGATCTTCACTCCCAATTATCGTATTCTTAGCAGTGATGTGGACACGTTGCGTCCAATATCCTTAAAACGTCCTATCCAAGGGCAATGACAATGTCTGCGTGATCCATGGGCCGACCATCTTCAATTAATGCAGCACCTGCCAAGCAATCAGCTCTTTCATTACTAACAACGCCTGCATACCTGGGACGAATATGAAGAAGTAAACAGTGTAGCAGAACAGAGCATCCTTATCTGAACAGAATGATTCCGTTGGAAGTGGGCAGAGGGTCTAGAGTTATAGACGGTTCTCTACCCGTAAAGGGAAAAAAATGTGTGTGTGTGTGAGGGGGGGGGGGGATTTTAGTCAAGTAGCAGCTGGCACCATAAACATGGAAACTGTTGGCTACTGGAAAATGAGACTGAGCAACTATAGAAATGCCCAGAATGCAATTACTCTTGACTAATTTATTCGTGTATCTGTTAACTATAGTCAAGGATGTTCGTGTTGCTTGTATGTATCAGTTATCTATAGCCAAAGATTTCTTGTTGCTTATATGTATCAGTTATCTATAGCTAAAGATGCTCTTGTTGCTTATATGCATCAGTTATCTATAGCTAAAGATGTTCTTGTTGCTTATATGTATCAGTTATCTATAGCCAAAGATGTTCGTATTGCTTATATGTATCAGTTATCTATAGCCAAAGATGTTCTTGTTGTTTATATGCATCAGTTATCTATAGCTAAAGATGTACTTGTTGCTTATATGCATCAGTTATCTATAGCTAAAGATGTTCTTGATGCTTATATGTATCAGTTATCTATAGCCAAAGATGTTTTTGTTGCTAATGTGTATCAGTTATCTATAGCTAAAGATGTTCTTGTTGCTTATATGTATCCGTTATCTATAGCTAAAGGGGTTCTTGTTGCTTATATGTATCAGTTATCTAGAGCCAAAGATATTCCTATTGCTTATGTGTATCAGTTATCTATAACCAAAGATGTTTTTGTTGCTTATATGTATCAGTTATCTATAGCCGAG